GCTGCCACTGAGGCCCTGATTCTTGCGCCTGTATCCCTCACTTGATGAAAACCAAACGCTCACAACCAGCTCGGAGGATCGCCCCCAAAAGGCCAGCATGAAACACAAACCAGCGCGGCACGCAGCTTCCGAAAACTAAAGACTCCCAGAATGGTCTACGAAGGGGGTCCATCACCAAAACTTACCCCTGGCAGTGGCTTCAAAAAAGCTTAGGATCCCCATCCTAAGTTGGCACAAAGGCACTTGACCCCAGTATTAAAGCTTCCCATTTCAGTTGAAGCCCGCTTACTCACTTCCTCCGAAGAACATCATGTTTGTTGTTCGCCGCTAAAATGGTCTTCCCAAAAAGTGCAAACAGTGAAGGAACCCAGGGAAACTCCCTTGCTAACTGATTGGTTCCCTCGCGAAACCGAAACCTGGGCCTTTTTTTCGACCCGAGCTTCTGTAGGCACGCACTATCTCGGTATTGGTGGCCTCCAGCGATACACCCAGCACCTCATAGTAAGGCAGCTTGCGCTGCTCATGCACCTGGCGGACGAGAGCAAGCGAAGCGCCCTCCCAACAACCAGAGGGGGATGCACCCCCAGCGGTGGTACTTTTTCATCGAGGCAAAGGTTTTTTCAACCCACCGCTCACAACATCCCTTGCTGAAGAACAAACATGGAAGATGAAACACGTAACTGCTTGGCAATCTGAAAGCATACGCAGCGGACTCGGCAAGGCCTTGTATTGCTTCGGTAAGTGGAAACAGTTCCCCCAGCCAATCCATTGACGCGAATGCCCAGATCTCGTGTTGCAAGCTTCTCCTGTTTTCTGTCTCATGGGAATCTCAAGAGCTGCTGGAAGAGCCACACCGCGGGAACCAGAAGACGACGTATGGGAAGTGGAGGAAAACATCAGGGTCCGCGGGCTCGTGTTGATTGGTTTTGATCTCCTGGCCCTTCGCGGACCGCCACTTTAGAGTCTCCTTTGGGATTCCGAGGCACCATCCGGGGGGGGAGGGGGAGGGGGGGCAATTCTTGGACCGGCGGCTCACCGGGCAAGATCTCGCCTCGTTGAACTCATCCAAGCGTCGGGCGCCCCGCGGTACACCCATGGAGAATCCGTTCGGCCGAATCGGCCAGCGAAAGCGTCGACACGGCTGTTGAACAGTAGCAACAAATGGGAAAATGCGCCAACCCCTCCATTCGCTAGATAACCAACAAACGCAAGAAATAGTTGCGATACTCTGAGAATCCTCATAATTATGAGCCACACTCAGACCCAGCCTAGTTAGGAAACTGAAGCCACAAAGCGGCAGCCAGGCGATGCTGAAATGTACTCGCAGGTGATCGATTTGTGATTTAATGCATTTATGTCTTGTTTAGACTTTCAAACTGTCCTGAACATTGGAAGTCAATTTAATGTTTCTGGGGCAGTCTCCCACATTTACAAATAGTTGAAGGGCCCAAGTATATACTTCATGTAGCGACCAGTGCAGCAAAAGGCAGGCGCTGCCTACGGGCATATTTCTATAAACTCAAAGAAACCTGCTCAAATGGGCAAAAATTGGAAAACCAAAAAGCCGGACCGCCAATCGTTGCGTCTACTGTTGATTGCTTAAACCATTCCCAAAAGAGGCCCTTTGTTTTGCAATGTGTTGCAGTGGAAAGGTACGCAACAAATTAGTTGCACAAGCCCAACATGCAATGGCGCTTGCATAGCGGCCAGCGTCCTCCCCACCCCTTACATCGCAAGTGAATGGCGAATCAGATCAACCTGGACTCTCAAACTACCCTGCGAATTGGAAATCACGCCATATTGTAGGAGTGATCGGGGTGTCTCTTTGTAAGGGTTTACGTTGAAAACCAAGCCAAAGAGGACTTCCCTACAAAAAAACCGACCCGTCCCACGCTAAAGAGTAGTTTGAGGGCTCAGGTGCCTTTTCTCCTCCCGGCGACTGTCGGCTGTGGGCCGTGGGAATGGGGGCGGCTCAGCAAGGGATGGCGTGCAGTAAGGGGTCCTCGACGTTACCCAGGCCGTAGCTCCCGAGACTCCGCCTCAGCGTCCCAAGTGGGTGGATGCTAGGTTTGGGCTGGAGGGTTTGCTTTGGCTTGGGGGATTGGCGCTTGCCGGTTTCAAGTATGAAAAGCACCAACTCGAGCCAGGGTGAAAACTCGTCGGGTGGGTTTTGGAGAGCTGGGCATCATTAACCCCTGGTTGATGAGGGTTAAATTGGAATTCCTCATGCCCCCCCCTTTCATCCGAAAGTTTGTTCATCGGGAGCCCGCTTTATAACTTCCAAGAGCCACATGTCGGGTGATTTGGGTCTCAAACAAGACCCTGCAAAATGTTGCTTTGGGGGGATGCACGTTGATTTTCAAGATATTCAGATTCACCTGGCCTGATACCCAAGTTGTCCGAACACGTAGGATGGAACATATTGCACATGTGTTTTGGTTTCTAATCTGCCTGCCAACTTTCGGCTAAAGGCTTCTAACTCGTCGCGATGGATAATCAACCACTTGGATCTTGGACCTTTCGGGGGGTCCTATGGGGGAACGGGGGGGCGGGGGGCTAACCTTTTAGATTCGCTTAGATAATCCAAGGATAAGCGCCTGCTTCCTCCCTTGGAGCCCAATTCACACTGACATTCGCATAGTTATTTGAGATCCTCGCCCTCTCCCAAAAAAGGGCCAAGAACAAGAAACAAACCATATGTGGGTTGACTTTCTCAGTTAGTGGATTTTCAGTTTTTTTGGGGAGACCATTTTAGGGCAAAAACAACAGTTTGTGGCACCAACACTCAGGAAATCAGTTTCCTGTTGGTTTCCCTTTGGGCCTCCATCCAGGAGCCCTGTGTTTGAAATACCTGGGCCTTGCGTGAAAGCAGCGGTTTGGTGCGGCACGCCTGGCCCGCAACTGCTTAGAGATGTTGTTTGTGCCCCGTTTCATGGTGCACCCAAAAAACAAGCGGAGCTGGAAAGCTGGTGGTTGGATGAATTATCGCGATGCCCTCTACTTTGCTGGAGAACGTTTTTTGGGAGTGTACAAGCCATCGCCTGTGGGCTCCGCCCAACGTGGGAAGACGTTCATGTCCCTTCTTTCCAGGGACACTTTTTTCTTGAAAACCTCCGAACTGGGACATGAACTCCTAGAACTGTTGCGTGGCGCAAGGCTCACAAGGGAGTAACACGCACCTGCCCAGTCCCCGTGATCGCGAAGAAGAAATCAGGATAACGGGCGAGCCTGAGGCCCCTATCTTTGGGGACGAGGCACCCCGAAGTGTAAACCCGTTGCAGGATCTAATCTCCAACATTCTTCGGCGTGTGTAGTTAGAGGCGCCCCCCCCCAAGCCCCCTAACGGGCCGCTGGCCAACATCCCCAGCATCGCTTTTCCATCCTCAGCAAGGCCAGCGCGACATCACCAGCATCCGCAGCAGTATCAGAATAATGACACTCTTGGACAATTGTTGTGGAGATGCGCCCTCCCACCAATTCACGAGCCTGACAGGGGGCCCCTTAAATGAAAATGGGCTTCTGGGACCCCCCTGTCAGGTTCGCTGATGCAATTGAGGTGCAACCACGGCCATGCTCAGGCGACTCAACTCCAAACATCGTTGCGTCAACAAAACGTGGCCTGCTGTGGGGATTGCGCTAGCTTCAAATTACCAGAATATGTGCCTTGCTGCCTCCGGAGTTGCACAAAACTTGAAACCTGGCGATTCAATGCTTGTGAAGCACGCGCGTCCGAAACACATGTTGCACAACAGGGCCACGCGTGGGATCCTGCTGGCCTCAAAGATGTGAACCATTGCTTAGCACAATCTGTTTGAGAGGAAAACGCCTACCTTGAAGATTTTCCAGGCAACACCCCACGCGTTTTTGCTTCGGTTGGCTTCATTCAACAATCTAATTTCATAACTTCGCCCATTGATTCATCGGGCACATGCTGCATTGAGATGTGGGACAACTGATGACGTGCGCCGAACAAGAAGAAACTCATACAATCGTCTTCCAACAGACGCATCTGCTTCGTCAGGAGCCTTCGCGGTGGCCTTCCACACCTTGCGAGGCAAAGGGTAAACTTGCAGCAAACTTCAACTGCTTTACCCGCTGGCTCTTGGTTGGGGCGCTGGGCTCACCGAACCCCACAAACAGCTGGCAAGCGCTTCTCAACGCAGTTGTCGCCTGCCCAAACGAGCCAGAGCCGCGCTCGCAGAGCAGGGCGTACTTGGCCAGGCCCTGCCTCAGCCTGACTCCCTTGCCACTTGAACATGTTGAAGCAGGAGTCTGGCATGCTGCGACGATTAACCATGGCGCAGGGCAGTCAAACAACAAACCACCCACACACGCACAAGTTTCGCGAATTCTCAGCCTATCACTGATCCTATTGCTACCCCCCGCTGAAACAATACAGGTAAATGCATTTTTCTAAGAAAGCAGCTTGCAGTGAATGACACCTATATCTAGTCGTAGTCGCTCAGACCAGATCCAGAAGAGTCGCTCATCCGCCTGGAGCTGCCCTAATAGTAAATGGAAATTGTTCCTTTCATGGTGACGCCATGGCAAAGTCCAAAAACACTCCTCGGGCTCTGCAGGGTCATCAGGGCGATCAAGCTCATCAAGCAGCTGCCCAGTGCTCAAAGCTAGCACCAAGCAAATCAAAAGCGACATCCACCCGTGTGTCTCCATATTGCTGTGAGCCAAGTGCGTGCGTGGCTTCGGCTTGCTCACGTGTATTCCATGATAGGTACATACAACAAAATCCGCGTTATTGGCAAAAAAGGCAAACCGAAGTCTTGCAGCATTGTCTGAATTCTGGTTGGAACGTCGTCATGAAAACGCCTTGTCCGCCACGACGCCGCCATTCGGAGTCATTTGCGGGTCAGGGTCGCTCCTTCCCTGACACGAGGACATTATGTTACTAGGGATGCCATACTAATAGCGCGTGCTTCTCCTGCCAGTCGCAAAGGCGCGCGTTTTTGCGCGCTCGTGCCTCCATCGGTGGGGCGGAAGCGCGTGCCGGTTGCCAGCGTGCACGCTGATTGGGAGTCGCGGTACGTGCTGCGGCGGCAGCTGGTTCCTTGCTTTCGCGTCGCTGACGCTGCGTGCTGGGCTTGGCCCCAGGCGGGCAACGCGAAGCGTTTACAATTAATGTTTTAAGATGTTGGGCCATCAGATTCTAAAATCTCAAGCCAAGCCGCTAGGATTTTGGTGGACATCATTTAGGTGGGGATTTACATGCACCGACCACTTTTCAGGGGGCTCCCCACTAAAATTCATAGCCATTTGAAGAGCTTAGCCATTAAGAATTGAATACTTTTAAGCCATTAAGGAGGTGTTAGTTAAGACTTGAAGCCATTCAGGTGTCAACACGTTAAGCCACTGAGCGTTTAAGTTTTCAAGCCACAAAGAACTATCAGAGATTGATCCATTACGATTTTAAGGTTTTCAGTCATGACTAGTTGAATATTTTTCAGCGGTTAATCCATTAAGGCTGAAAGGTTTGCAGCCATTTGTATCTTAAGGTTCTAAGCCATCATATTTTTTTGAGCCATTAAGACGTCTAGCCACAAATATTTTAAGATTTTAAGTTTTTGAATGATAAGGCTTTAAGCCATTGAGAACTCAACACATTCAGCCACTAAGAAACGCTAGATTTCCATCCATGAAAAAATATGGTGTTCAGCCATTAATATGTTAAGATGCTCAGCCAATACGATTTTACATATTGTAATCCGTTAAGATTCTAAGACTTTAAGTTATGGTTTGCAGACTCTACGCCACTAAGATTCTATAAGATCTTTAGACATATTAAACGCTCTAAGGGCCTTAATGGGTCAGGGGCTGAAGGGCCTCAACGGGCTTTCAAGGGCTGCAGTGCCTCGAGGGGCTTCAGGGGGCTGCAGGAGCTGAAGGAGCTTTTTCGGGCTTCAAGGCCCCAAGCGCCTCCAAAACAAACCTGGGGCGGACTGAGCCGAAGGCTCGAAAGTTTTATTTTCCGTGTGTTTTCCAACTCTCTGGATCCCTAAGTAGCCATTGTTTTCTGGCCACTTTATCCACTAGCCCATAATTTGGCCAAGGTAGCTGGAAAACAAAGGCAACTGATCCAGGTACATGGAACCCCGGAGAAGTCAGATCCACACCGAGCCACTCATCATCCAGCTCTCGACCAAAGAGGATGAGCTGCATCTGCTGCTCGAATCCCAGGTGCCTCGCTCACGTTGCCACGAGTGCCGCGCGGAATGGGGAGACGACGGAGTCCTTTTGAGGACGTTTGTCCAATGTCGACTTCCGCTGGAGGAACGGTATGATAGATTGATTCACTTGTAAACTAGAACCAGATGGAAACTGGAATGAATCGACGTTCAACCCAGCTGACCTGAGGAAGTTGCCCAATTGCCCCGTGAGAAAGGGAAGCCCTTCTCGGGGAAGACCACATTTAGGGAAGCCACCACACAGAAAGGGGGAAACAGGTGGCACTGAACAACAGCTTGTTTCCCTTTGGTGGATTTTAAGGAGCGACCACAAGGAAACATGGCGCCAAATAGCTGAGCAAAAGTCCGGATCCCATCTGACAGCCTGTTCCCTTCGGCCAATGCAGTGACAAGGAACCGGGAACAGACCGAGTGACTACCAGGCCCCCCATGGCCGTCAAGTGGCCCCAAGTTGACTTACCATTTCATAGCGGTTGGTTGGGGGGGACCTGGTATGAGTTTCTTTTCCCCCGCGAGGCAACAGCCTAACGTGAACTCATACATGACAAGCGACTTAGAGAAATGAAACAAGACATCGAGCTGCAATCTTAATGTGTGTAGGTCTTTGTTTAAGCAGTTTGTAGTGTAAATCCCGTACCCTGAGTGAACATCCCAATCCTCCCTTAAATAGACTAAAATGAGTGCTGCACCTGCCCCAAAATGGTACCATAGGTTTTGTCCCACAGCCATTTGTTCAAGAACCATGGGGCGTTTAGGGGGGGAAGGATGCTGCGGGTAAAGTGTTTCAGCCTGGATTTGAGGGGAAATCTGACGGTTCAGGTGACCCTTGCTTGCACATGACCAGTTGCATGTGCCTGGGGAAACAACACCAAACAACCATATTCAAAGGCACCCATCAATGTTTGCAAGCGGGAACCAACCACTCAAACACAAGGGAAAGCGGCAGTTCAAACACAAGGAAACGAGGTACCCTCTGATTATGAAGCAACCTCCCGTTTTGGTCATCCACAAAAAGCGCCCGCCTGCAAATGCGGCTCTTCACTGCTGCGACCTTGCTCTCTTTGTCCGCCTCCACATGGAAGAAATCCTGGAGTTTCGGCTCAGAGAGGACACGCAGATTCATGAGGTGAGAACCTATGCATTGGACCCTCAAAATGCACCTGCAAAACTGAAGATTGCCGAGACAATGTTAGGACAGTGCCGAAAAGGGGTTTCCGTCTTTACCTGTCACTTTCAAGAGGATTCCTGTAGGCAACATGGAAAGTGGGCCCAAACTCAATGTCCCTTAATGCCTAGGTGAGCCACTCACGCTGTGTGGCTCTGCCCGGCTACCTGCAGCGAAGCTCTCTACAAGGAACCCTGAGCTACTTTCATTCGGGCAAAGGCGTACCCAAAAGAAAACAACTCACAGCAGACTTGCCAAACAAAACCTTTAAAACCCGAGGGCGACACCAGGCCTTGGCATAGATACTGGCGGCCTTGCCCCAGTAGCCAGCCTCGCCGTGGACTTTCGCCGGCTCCAGCAGTTTCACCGCCACGGTGGCCGGCATTGGCTTCTTCGAGAGGCGAGCCTCACCCCTTCGGGAAAATGGTGGAAGCTCTTGGCTCGAGCCAAAAAAGCAACGCGCAAAGTCTACTAAGCAGTGTAGGCAGTTTAATGTCAAAGAAAAATACCTCGTCCTCGAAGTTCTCGTCCCTTTCAGACCTGAAAGTTTTCCAAGTGCCGTCGAACCGCCTGAAAATCAGCCCCCCCCGAAAGAACTGCTTGGGCACTGGATACTTGGAAGGTACTCTACTCGCCTGTCGCAGCCCTGAGATGCCCCGCCTCACGCCGCTTTCAAGGTATCCGGGAAGAGAGGAGCCAGCTTGTCCTCAGCTTTGCTGTGCAGCTCGGAGGACGGTCTTTCGACGCATCCATGTCACGCGTCAAAAACTCGGGAGCCGTGAAAACGTGAAAGCGTTCATTGCTTTGGATTACACAATCAAAACGGTATAATCGGTATACAAAGAAACGTCCACACAAACCCCCAGTTGCAGGACCCAACTGTGTTCACAAATAAACCTGTTAACACAGTCGCAAGGGAAAGTGCGCATTAGCTAGCCCCTTGTGTTGCTGGATGTCAGCTTTTTTGCGCGGAAACGCACCGCGATGATCATTCTGGTGGCGGGCTTGCGCAGCTTCCTCTTGGCTTCCCCATTGAAACTTGAGAAAACCGGCCGCCCATAGGCGTCCTTTTGGAAATATAGATGGCCCTGGTAAATGGAATAACAGCCATCTAAACCAGTGCCTTCTGTTTTTGACCACACTAACCTACAAAGGCCACCTATGCAGCCGCCTCCCCGGCCCTTCCGGCTGCGCGGCTGGTCTGCTGCCCAAGGCAGGAGAACTTGGCACCACCGACAAGGCCTGCAGGCCTCCTGACCGGCTACCACCTCAGCGGGAATCAAAAATCCAAGCGAATGGAGTCTGCAACTACCAGGTCACTTTCTGAGTGGGAGTCCAAAAAGTCCCAATCTTGTTGCTCGCCACTGAAATTGTCTAGTGCCTTAAGTCCAAGAACTTGCACTCGGCGTAATGCTGTCAATTGGGTCATGGAGAGATCTTGGTTCCGCAAATCGTGAACCAACCATAAACCACAAAACCCTGTTGAAATGCCCAGGTAAATCACCAGGTCTCCCTCCTTCCATGGTTGCATTTGGTTTAATCACCCATTCCTGGCCATCCTCCTAGTTGAACGGCGCAATAAACCGTTGGTTTGAACCATGCTGTTAACAACCTCCGTTTGATTACCCCTTTAAACTCGGCCCATGTCTGGGGTACACATGAACTCCTATGTTCAGATTTAGTCTACCCGAAAATATAGAATAGTTCGAAGGAAACAGCCAATAGAAATGGCCAGGGCTTTGCTAACGTCGCACTTTGCCTAAGTCCCAAGTTGCAACGCCCAAACTGCCCGCCCATCCGCCCGGCCTTCTCCTATACGGACAGCTGCCACCGGCGGTAAACCTCAGCGATGGACATCCTCTGTCCAACCATTGAGGATATTCGCCATTCAGATTCTTACTCTCCCCTAAGATAGATTCCAAGTCAAACGGGGCTGCCAATTTGCATGTCCCAGGTTGGCTGCACGTCAATAAAAAGTATGGACCATGCACCGTAACGGGACAACAACGATTGAGCTGGGGCAGCGCTTGCGCATCAACAGGGAAACACGTGGCTCCCAAAACAGCAAGAGAATCTGGGCACAGGGAACAAAGCGGCCCAGGCTCAACGGTTCAGCCACCCTTTTTGCATTGTGTTTGTTTGAAAACACAGGGGGCTTCAACCGATGTTGTGAAAGGATTGCAAAGGATACCCTCATTGTGCAAAATAAACACCAATTCTGATCAGGCACACCTTGCCAATGATCACTTTCTGATTTATAAGGGGGTCCCGCGTCACGCATCGCACCAGGAAGGGGTTGGGAAAACAAGTTGGCGGGGATATTGGGGAAGCGGGGATGTGCTTGGATTCCCAGCAAAGGAAGCCATGTCTAAAGATTCGAGAAATATCTGACATCCCTTCCCCGGTATCCCTGCTTGTTTCTTGTTTCATGATTAGAGCTAGGCCCACTTATAGAATGTATATTTTATTGTTTGCTTCACTTTGAGTCACTGGTAAAGTTTAAAACATGTATTCTAAGTCTACCCCAGATCCGTTCCCCGCTATGCCCGCTGGTTTCTTCACGGGTCCCTCTCCTTCCCCGCTCCGCCGCCTGCAGCTTCTGGGCTGAGGTCATCTTCACACTCCCCCGCCAGCTCGGCCTGGCGCGCGAAGGCCCCGAAAGAAACGGGCGAAACGGCCCAGGGTGTTGTTGTTTGAGCAAAACCCGGAATTAAGACTTCCATTTGGCTAAGACCCCTGGAAAAAGTAAAACTATGTCCAGTAGTGATAGATTCCTTTTAAAACCAACAGGAGAAAAACAAAAAAATGTTAAGCAAATGGAAGGAAATTGTTTTTTTATAACTCACATGGGTACCCAGAGCCATCAAATTGTTGGCAAAGAATTCAATGGACCCCCAGAACCATGCAAAGAATTGCCAAGGCGGACATCCGCATCCATTTTGGCATTTTTTTCGCTGGGATCACTTGCAACCCTCAAATTACCCGAGTTTGAGTGACTCATGTCACTTCACCGAGTGCTGGCAGTCCCTTTGGTTAGAGGGGTCCTACTCGGGGAGTCCTGGTGATCCTACATTTGCCTCGCGGACCCGCACTTTTTAGCCGAGAACTCTGGAGAACTCGAGCTGGCTCTCGTGAATTGGAACCAAAAGGAACCCAAAAAGGGTATCAGCAGGAGGCGTTCTCGAAAAAAAAAAAAAAAAACACTTTTGAGTCGCCATTGAATTTTCAGGGGAGTGCTTCCAGCACCTGAGATCCGAAAACAGGAGCCCTCATCAAGATGGCACCGAGGTCGCCAAACTTTGCCCGGTGACTAATGCTTGAGAACACCCCGTTTGGCCTGGCTCCATGTTGCTTTCCGCCCTAGCCATGAAACTCACAGAATAAAAACAAACAGAGTGAGTTTACTCAAAGTCAAACACTCTGCAAATGAATACCAGCGACCAAAACCTTTCAACACAGGACTTCTCGATCAAACACAGCGCGTCTCAATAACCCGCCTTCATCCGCTTGATATCCTCATCATCCTCCTCGTCCATTCTCATAGGGTACATCTGGGAAGCCCTCAGCTTAAAACTCGAAAGGCTGTTGACGGGGCCCGCGCTATTCAATGCCACAAAAACATCCAAGAACAGACTCCTTGGGCTTTGACGCCCACGTTTGATCAGTTTTGGCTTCCTGTTCAACCAACCTTAAACGGGTGCCCTCAAACAAACAAACACACATGCGTGAATCCCAAAGATCCCTAGGACACGCACCTTCATGCGATGCGAAGCTCGCAAACCCGTCTCTTCCTTGCCGGAGGTTGGGCTTTGGCCCCTTCTTGCGTGAGAAACAAGGGATGCCCGAAGGGGGCCAAACAAAGTAAACTCTGAGCCCAGTAACGCGACAACACATGGCTGTGGGTCAAAACCAATGGTACGATTTTGGGGTAGGTGCACCCCCCCATTTTAGTCGATTTTCATTTTAGTCCATTCTAGCGGGGATTCGGATGTTCACTGGCGTACGAGGTTTTGACCCATAGCCATATCTTCGAAAGTCGTTGTGTGGGCGGACCATGGTCTTGGATTTCCTACTCAAGAACCGGGTTTTGGCCGCCCAAGCGGCTAGCAATTTGCGGTTTGGCTGGGCTTCAGACCCAATGGCCCATGTCCGACTGCCATGTTTTGGATATAAATGGGTTTCTGTCCAAGTGGATATTTTTCAGACCCCATGCTGATTGGGGCATGAGTCAGTCAATCCAACTTTCCCTGAGCGTGCGGAGGTGGAAACCTCCGAAGAACTTGAGGCTGAACCAAAAACCCCGGAAAAAAAAAAAAAAAAAAAAAAAAAAAAAAAAACTGCCTGATGTATACCTTTCCCTTTCCCACAAACATTGGCATTTGGGAGGGTACCTGGAAGATGAGTTTCCTCCTGAAAGGAAGCTCCTGTGAGGTGCTCTTGATGTATACCCCATATGTGATGCCTATCTCTTCGTAGGAGTTACATGCGCCTTCGATGTAGCTCAGCTGTTAACCCTGAGGAACCTGGCGGCAAATTCCAGACATCCTTGCAACACATCCACTTCTCACCAAAAAACCCGACTCCTTTAAAACGAAAATGCTCCAAACAAGGACCCCCCGAACCTCAGCTTCCGTGTTTGGTGGGAGGGCAACGAAACCACAACTTCCCAAGTAAAGCACCTTTGGATTAGTTCGCTTTACCCTCAGATGAGCCCGGCATAAGTTGGCCAGAGTGGACGACTAGTCGATGTGTGTTACGCGTGTGAAGTCATAGCCTATAGCGACGTAAATCCGAATCCTCCACAATCACTCATGTCGTGGGGAATCTCCTTGTCCCTTGCTATTGGAGAAAGTGGCTCTAAACTTTGATTTCCCACAACCATACAATGACTTGTCAATGGCCTATGGCACACGTAGCAAGCCGAGCAAAACTCGTGCATAGCCAAGGAACGCAGAGGACGTACTATCAGTCGACGTTTGCCGCTTCCAATCAAAGTACATGTCCTGGAACTCCAACGCCTCACCAGGTGCAAAACGTGCAGCCGTTTTTCTTTGCACGGCAAAGCGTGCATCATGGGAATCATGGATTAAGAATCCCCTGGTGTCCTAATTTCTCTGGAGGGGGCCCTTCACATTGCGGGGGGACACCCCCTAAACAGTCCAAAGGTCGAGCGATCCGGGATATTCTGGGATCAACATTGGGCATCAGTTGGCCTTACTTAGCTGTCCCAACAAGCCCTCAGGCATGTATTGCTCTTCCAAGCGAGACCTTGGATGCCGTGAGCCAAACATTCACCCAAACACCTTGGCTTGACATCATCCCGAGCATGCAAGTCAAATCATGCATGCCCTCCAAGAAAAGTTAGACATGGCTGTGGGTCAGAACTAATGGTACCATTTTGGGGTAGGTGCACCACCCAGTTTAGCCTATTTTAGTGGGGATTTGGATGTTCACTGGGGGTACGGGATTTTGACCCACAGCCACATGGTGAGACAGTCTTGCTTACGTGGTCTTCAACATGGTCGCGGCTTGTTTCCGTTCGAGAGGCTCCCTAAGGCTATGGAAGGCTTAAGCTTTGCCATAGAGCCGTTTGCAGGTGCCGCGAAACCTGAGCAGCTACCAGTTTCCTGTCGATACCACTTACCATTCCCCAAGTTGGAGAAACAAGGAATCAAAGCAATGGTTTTTTTGTTTAATAGAAAGCCCAACGCGGGTTTCTTCTATGCCTCTGGGTTGAAATCCCCTCAGTCTAAGCTCTCGCAGTCTGTGCTCTATCGATCGATCGATCCAAAAGCACCCGCCTGGTTCGGGTCCACCATAAATTCCACTTTGCCTGGCAGGTGAGTGAATCATAATATGCCTGTGGCTCAAAAGCAATCGTACCAAAATCGCACCTTTGGCAAATGGAACCAAAGACTAAAACCTGCGGAACCCTAGCTATTTAAATTTTGAGCCACACCCATATGTGTTTTCCGAGGATACACTTTTTGAGGTTGGTTTGAAGGGAAACCAAAGGGAAATCTTACGAGAGGCGGCAGCCAAAAGATTAAAATGAACAATTAATCATTCTTACTTTGGTTTTACATTTTGGGGGTACACGATTCTGGGGAAAACTGGATCCTATTAAACAATTTTTGGGTGTACGCTTTGTGGGGAAAACCTTGGGGTATCTGCTTACCTCTGGTTTTGGGTTTACTTTTTTGAGATCAAATGGGATGGGTGGGTGGGCAAAGGGGAGGGGAGGGGAGGGGAGGGGAGGGAGGGGAGGGGGAAAGGAGGGTAAAGACCCCTGTGGGAACAAAAACCATTTTGGGGTCCCCCTATTTTGACACATACTCCTTTGCGGTGTCGAGAAAAGGAAAGGGTCTGACCGACGGCTCCAATCGAACTTCAACCAACGACTGAGGTCCCCTCTCAGAAAATGATGGTTGTGGGATGCCAAGGCTTTGTCGAGTAAAGAACATTCGCGCACAAGTTCCCGAGATTTATTTGGCAATGGCTTCTTTTTGGACAGCACTTGCGCTTGTGAACATGCAAACAAACCGAAGGCAAGTCTTCTGTCTTGATTCCGTTCCACTAGCACGCAATAGCAAAAATACGTGTTCAAACCAACAGTCCTACCAATTTTTCTTTGGGAGGTTCTTCTAGACACATCCCCTCATTCCCAAAGGCCCAAGGCCCGCATGCGCTTTGGGTGCTTCTTGCGCCGCGGATGCGCATCCCGCGCGCCTTGATCTTCGTCCTGCGTCGGCCCGTCGTCCAACTGCGCAGGATCCAGGTCCTGGCCCGAGTTTTAATACGCTTCGGGCCCTTCGGGCATGGCTTTGGGGGATTTAAAGGGCTTGGGATTGCTTGGTCTTGGGATAGTGGGAGTATGGCCATGGGTCAAAATCCCGTACCCAATCCCCACTAAAATAGACTAAAATGGGTGGTGCACCTACCCCAAAATGGTACCATTGGCTATGACCCACAGCCATATAGGACCTACTGGCCTGGTGGCTTAGATAACAACGGGCGGTTTCACTCGTTAAAAGGGATCCCCAGATCAGCTGCTTCATCAAGGTCAAGGTTGAAAACCTGCGGAGTCCACGTTACCCAAGTTGCACCACACTTCCTCACTTTGCAGGGGATGCTGCAAGGGTATTGCTAGAAGTGGGGCCTACTCCACTTGGCGCACCCCAGCGGTGGGGGAACCTTGGGTAGGAACATCACGGAGTCCCTTTGACACGCGGTAAGCAAACTCTCTCAACGCTGAAACGGCCAATGAAGGGACCCTTTGCTGACATCCTTTGGCCCGTGACGAACATCCCCTGGTCTGACAAATCCTCGGGCCCCGCCTGACGTGAAGCCGAGAGGTCCTGAAGGGCAGATTGAGATAGAGAGAGCCAAAGAACCCAGAGGTCCAAACCTGCCGATTTGGACCTCACTCATTGGCCAGCAACCAGTGAACCTTCCCCCCCCAAGGAGTGAAACCGTTTCGACACCGCCTCGGGGTCTACTTTGGATATGGGGCTTAAACAGTCGCGAAGGCCATGGTCAACGCACGCCGATTTCACCAGAGCCATGGCCTCCAACCCATGGCCTTGGCCAACTGGAGGTCTTAGATCCCACCGGGGGATCCCTGGCCCCTTCAACCAACGGGCTGCTGGGTAAACCCTGGATTCTCGGGTCCGTGGGGTTGCCAAGGGAGGCCGAAATGGGGGGGGGGGGTCCGACTTCCTTCCCACTTTGCGAGGAAAGCTTCCATCTCCTTCCATTTGCTTGCAGCCCAAAAAGAACTATTATATCCAGCAGTGATAGATTCACTTTGAAAGCAACAAGGGATTGAACAAAAAACAACATTTTGCAGATGGACGCCTCCCAAGCCAACTTGCCTTGATCTTTCCCCGTTCAGCGACTTCTCGCGTCCTGCTGCACCCGAGCCGTCCGCTGGCGTGTTCCGCCGGCGCCGGAAGCGGCCGTGCCTACAAGCGGCGACCAACACATGTTGAATCATGTTGACGTGTTGTACAAAGGGGGGGATTTAGAGCCCTTGCGAAGAAAAGAAAAAACAGAAAGTGAACCATGCCAACTTCATGAAGTAGGCTGATTCATCAAAGAACCCCGTGTTTCGACACCAAGCAACATTACCCAGGGCAAGCTGATCCTGGCTTCCGGCCATGGCCACCAGGCTGTGAATCTTTGAGATCTGTACACCCACCCCACCGGAACTTCGAAAATCGCGGACGCGCCTTCCTCAGGCTTCGCCGCGGTGACACCGGCCGCCTTCTTGCCTGACACTGACCGAAGCCGGTCGGCCCGTTGCCCAAAAGGGCTCAAAGGGCTCAAAGGGCTCAAAGGGCTCAAAGTGCCTCAGATATTCGGACCCTTCAAGTTGAACATGCATCTCAAAACGAAACCATCTGTGTCAAGGCCTATGCCCCCCCCCTCCCTCCTGTCGCGTGCACTACTTTCGTTTCGACGTTTCGAAGCAAATTCTGCGAGGATCCCGTGGGTTTCCAGCGCAAGGGCTTCTAACGGCCGCCCCTTCTCCTATCGGAAGCCTCGAGCTGAATGTTCATGGCAAGGTTTTTCCATGCCCTTTCCAACCATGAAGAATCAGCATGCTGCTTTTCTTCCAAACCCTCCAGTCCACTCCCGTGTTGGAAGTGCGCGCAACATTGATGACTAGTTGCCAAGTTCCACCCAACTAGCACACAACAACCTGGTTTCTGGCGAGCCACACGCCCCGATCCCCAGCCTCCATTCAAAAGCAGTTCGGGAGAGATGTTCATCTCTGTCGGCTCACGGTTCTTTTCCTGAGCTTGCTTCGGCGCTTGTCGGACACGCCGAACCCACGGCTTTTTGTTGCTGACCAGAGATGTCCTAAGTGCTTGAGAATCCAACAGAGTGATTGAACAAAAGGGATTCAACGCTCTGCTTGCTTGCGAGGCGGTTCGCCGCCCCACATCTTGCGCGTGCCATGGGAAAACGGAAGCCATGTGTTTTGTCTAAAAAGATGATTTGATGGTGACTTTTGGCTCTACGATGCTTTTACGACTAAATACAGTATTAGGCCCAGGTAGAACCACCAATAGGGGTTGGGAGCTGCTAGCGAGAGCGAAAGCCAGGGCTTTCTCATGTGTGAAAAGCTCAAAGCTCTGTGGCCTTGAGGAACAACGTCAAACTTAAGTTGTGCCTGCAGATTAGCAAGCTGCGCGTCGATGTGCTCGACAGCCAAATTGGCATCGATTGTAGTTTTGCAGGAAGGGAGCTGCTCATTTAAACCAAGCAAACAATGGTGCAGAGAGCTGGGAAACCTTGTGGGGCCCCTTCTCTGAGCATGCGTCACCCTTCTGCCCGAACCCCCAAATGTGACCTGCTCGAATGTCTTGGCATTCCCCTTCCAGGATTGAATGCCCAGGAGACAAACCCATTTGGGGTGTGGCTCAAAGTGTAACAGCTGGGGTCGCGCAGGTCTTGGTCTTTGGTTCCCTTTAGCAAGGTGCCATTTTGGGTACCATTTTTTCAGCCACTGCAATTTCTTTCAGCTAGAAAGCCAAGGCGCCGCATCCGGCTTCCTGGCACTGATAATCCATGGGCTGCTCAATGCAGCCTGGCCAAAAACAACCGTGCCAGGTGACCCTGTGGACGTGTCTCTTGAGGTTCTCCTTTTCGGGATGCTAAAGGGAAACCCAGGGGAGAGCTCCTTATTTTGACACGCACACACACACGTCCTTTCGGACGCGGAACCACTGGATTGTCCTTCGCAAACTGCAACCTGTCTGGAACCCATTTCGGGTCCGCGGAAGAAAGGCTGTCGAGTCGAGAAATCGAGAAACTGTGCTCCATTGGCAAAAAACAAGTTGAAATCACATTCGTGAGAAAACTGAACTATCCTAAAAGCAACTTTTACTGGGTTTAAAATGGAAACCCTAAACCAACTAAGAAGCTTAACACCTAACCCAATCGGATGCCTGGGAGCCAAGAAAACATCACCACCTGCTGTGGAAGTGCACAAATTCGCAAAGCCCCTTCCAAGAGGAGTACGTCGTCTTTCTACAGGGGGAGGGTACATGGTAGGGATTTCTCCGAGCCGGACTCGGTGTTTCGGCGCGTTTTTTGGTGTTTCAAGGCCTTGGCCGTGGTGCGCTTCCGCGGCTTCCGCTGCAGGCAGCCCTTTAAAAAGCCCACCGTCTTCGTGTCCAGGTGCACCTCAGACGTGGCGGGGGGAGGGACCGGAGGGGGGGGGGGGTGAAGGGGGAGTGGGGGGGGAGTGGGGGGGGGGGGGGGGGCGGAGAATAAGTTGGCACCGCAAAAATCGAGAGTCACCTGAAACACGTATGTTTGGTGCATCTCAGTTTGGCTTGGAGCTGAAAGAACCTGTGATGCCAAAACGGATGCTCTCTCAGCTTTAAAAAGGTGTCCTTGGTATTAAAAGAAAATTGTTCACCATCTAGCACATATATATATATATATGCAGCGTGCAAAAGAATGCTCAGCGTGCAAAAGAATGCTGACCTTCATGGCGGCAAGTGCCCATAATGAAGACCTTGTATTAAAAGGAGGACACATACATCCCCCAAGAGGGGTCCCCTCCAAAAGGAGATTCCTCAACGGGAAAGTCCAGATTCTACCGGAGAGTAAGCAAGCTACAGCTATGTTGGATCTTTGTTTCTCAGGAACACCTTCTTCCTGCAACTTCTGTTTGGACTGTGTGAAGATGCGTGATTTGTCGATTCCCGGTTCTTCTTTAGTAATCTCTTTTCATGAGTGGATCGGCCAAACAAGCCCCAACGATTTGCTTGCCACTAAAACTGCTCTCCTAAAAAAGTATCGAGTCCACAAATTCACGGAGTTCATGAACCTTGAATTGCAAAACAATATGGGCCTGGGTCACAGCTAATCACAAGGATGTGGACCGCACGTTTTCGTGCATGTTTCCATGTACCAGGGCAACCCGTTTTGGGGTTACCCAATTTTTGACAGCCACACCCGGCGAAGTTCCCACGACTTTTGCGGCCCATGGCGCATCGCTGTCCCAGTCGACGGTTCCGTGGAGAACCGTCAGCAAAATCTCTCGAACGTTGCCCCCATCAAAGGGATAGCGCCCGTAGAGGGTGAAGTACATGAGAACACCAAATGCCCACCTCAGCATATGGATGTGTTTTTTGCTCGGGGACCCCCTTGGCCAATTTTGAAGGTTCGCATACATGATGAACATGGAGTTGTTTGAATCCAAGTGAACTCATTGTCATAAGAAAAGAACGCGCGTAAACATTCCGCCTGCTCCGTAAGAGAGGTACCCCAGCGGTACGTGCGTTTTTGAGGGTACCCCATTTTTGGGCGGTCTCACAGGGAAATCAAGAGACCGAAGACTGACCCAAGCCCAGGAGTCCACTATTGCACAAACCACCAGTAGCCATTGAACGAAAAGCGCGCCCTTTCTTGGTACTTGATCTGAACGTCCTCCGAAAAAGGGTTGACAAAAGGGGAAGTCTGGATTTTGAGACCACCTCACCAAGATCGTCGATCACAGGGACCCATCAGGTGCCCTCCTGATATACCCAAAGATCCCCTAGAAATGCCGCTGGACAATGTTCGATGTTTGGGGAAAACTGGTTCGTGCCCCTTGCCTCAACAAAACGCCTTGAGATGAGAGACAAGTCAAGGGATTATCAGCTATGAATATTATTGTATGGTTGTCGTCACACTACATACCTACTGTTCTATGAGGGTTACCTCAGGGTTAAATCAAACCAACTATACACCAACACATAACCGCCACCCAAAACAAGTCAAACAAACACGAAACCAGCACCAAATCAGAACCAACACCCAACCCAAACGCCACTAAAACCACACGCCACAACCCCAAACCAAACCCAAACCCGAACAAAATACACCAAGCCAGAACCAAAGATAGTTGTGACACTTCAGGGGAAGAAAAGCCACGCAGTCACGTGCTCTCGTCTGGGCACATATCCACCCGGTAGTCATATCTCTGACCCACCAGCTCCGGAGCCATGTACTGAGGTGAGCCGGAGATTTTGTCGAACATCTCTCCGCGTTGAAACCTGGGGAGGGGACCCGTGGGTGGCACCACGGGGGATGAGACCATTCTGGGGGTCCCTATTGTGAGACAATTCCAACCGAATCCTTTTAAGTGAATTTCTTTGACACCAACCCATGGTGGGAAATTGGTTTCAACAAATCCTCTTGGCTCAAGCCATCTCCTGGTTTCCGTCTGGGGGACCAAAACCTGGGTGGTTTAATCAACTTCGCCCGGCCACGATTGAAGGCCAGGGTACAAATGTCATCCAAGACCCCGCTTGGGATTGCAAAAGGCGGCCTTTGCCCAGACACGAATCCAAGAGCCGGTCCAAAGCGATGCCCGGAATTAGCCTAAATCGGGGGGGGGGGGAGGTGCAGAATGAACAAGTTGTGTCTCTCTCGTTGCTTTGTTTCTTGCTGCTTGCTTCAACATGCTGTTTGTTGTTGTAGAATCTTGTAGATGCTTACTTGTCAAAATAGGCAGCCGGGCTTGTTGACGTTCGTGCGGTCCTGGGCAGGTTTCAGAAGCTTGGCAGGTTTTGGGTCGACTTAGGGCGCTTTGGGTGGGTCGCAAGACCACACTGCCCGGCCTGGCAGCGATGCCGAAGTCGATAATCTTCACCACAGCGGTGGGGGACCACTCCGTCAGCAGCACATTCTCTGCTTTGATGTCACGATGCATCACACCCTTGCTGTGCATGTAGTCGATGCCACCTTGGCCCAAGGCGAAAACCTAAGCGACATTATTAGAGTTATGCCCAGTGTCTAGAATGTATATCTTATTGGTTGCTTCACTTTGAGTCACTGGTAAAATGCAAAATGTATCCTAAGTCTACCCCAGGCACCCCTTGCCAGTGTTAGATGGGCTTGTGCCAGGGACTGCGTTTGATTCTCCATTGGAAGTCGAGCTCTTTGCTTGCTTCTGGCTGAAGGCACCATTCGAGAATGGCCTAAAAGCCAACCAGCTGGAGGGGACCTCCAAGTTTCACACAGCTACATGTGCCATGTCCATGGTGAGGCTGCCTTAGGAACCCTCAGAATTCTGACACCCGATTGTGAAGAGTTCGTGTCCAGCCCTAGTAAAGGCATCTTTGGACAATCCAGTACCACATATGAGTGTTCTTGAAAAGCAAACACACACACAGCAAGCCCCCATGGCATTCATCCGCTGAGAACGGAAGGCAGTGTGAAGCCGCTCAACGCCCCCTGCCACTCAAGAAAGAACCCCCCGTGGGCATGTCGAGGTTATGTTGCAGTGCCAAACTAAAATTCAAGTACCCTAAAGGTGATTGCAAAGTAGAGGCTCTACAGGTCTGTGGTCTTTCCAAGAGGAAATGTATTGCAGTCCCCTGGCCAAGTGAACACCACACTTGGGGAGGATGTGCCGATTGCCCCAATGGCAACGAGTTTCACGCGCCGCCTTTCAGGAGTTGAGGATGCCGAAACAAATGCGGCCTTTTGGGCCAGCTTGTCCTTGGCCATTGAATACAATCCAAATATCCAAGCACCTTTGGATTCTGTGGAACCCGAAAATGGGCTGGTCCAAGCCTGCGGAGCTATGTACTGATACTACGAGTATAATGCGCTAACAAACATACCCCATGATCATGAGGCAATTCGGATCAATTGTACCCTGCAGCCCCATTCTTATTGTTTAGGCCCTTTCAGTACCCTCCGGCTGAATTCCAGCCCGGGAGCCTAGCAGCTGCTTTGCAATGACTGCGGTGTCCGACTCTGGGAGGCGATCCATCTGTGCAATGCGGCGCGGTGAAGGCAACCATTCCGCCACTCCGTGCGGAGATTTGCCTCTTTCACTGCGTTGAGATTGGCCAATTGCCAGGGAAGAAACATGACTCTTTAACCTCCACTCAAACCGCCGCTTTCGCGGAATCCAAACGCGATGAGGTGTCAAAGGCTAAACGACGGGTGCCGTTTGTCAAGCTTCCCAGCATTGCAGGATGTGGCCCAAGCAAGTGGATAGTCAAGCTGTCCTGATCGAACCTGGGGAAACTGATGAGAAATGGAAAGAAGGAAAGAACCAAAGAAAGATAGACACAACAGAAAAAAATAAATAAACAACAAAAAGACAGCACAAAAGCAAGAAACAAAACGAAAAATGAAGAAAAACAACAGAAAACCAAAAAGAGTAACCGGCCATACAAATACTCGCTGGACCCGCGTGCCAACAAAAATGAACTTCTGCAAAGCTTTGCGTTTTCCCAAGTTCTGTACATGCCCTATCATGCTAGACGTCAATGTCCTCCCTCAACTTAGCCAAATAACGGATGCTCACAGCGCCAAATGACCCCGACCGGCGCAATTGAGATCCACAGTTAGTGCAATAAAAGCAGTTGCGTCAATTGGGCAACGTGCCTCTAACGCAAGGTATCGACAACTGTCCCGGCCTCGTTGATCATGTCAAAAAGCTCTCCCCCTCTGCAGAGATCCATGACAACGTAGAAGAAGTGAGATGTCTCCTCGCATTCATTCCAAGCCACGGCCCTTCCGACGTCCGACACACACGAGGCCGCTTCAGCTCGCAACAGCTAAAGGACCACGGACGGCTGCGAAGCCGGCAGATGTCCACATTTTCACATATCAGGCATGGTTGGCTGGAAATCAGACGCTAAGGAACATGTGGAGATTCGGTATGAAAGCACTGCGAACTCATCAAGGAACCATTCTCAAATGCTGCTTTGTCAAGATCGACACAAGCCAGCCATGGCGTGGTGCTAGTCAGAAGCCAGGCGTCGTATACGTCCCATACTCGCACGATATTCCTGGGCAGACAACAATCGAGGCAACCGGACAGTACTTCACAAGACTTTCCATTGCACTCGCACCGATTTACGTAATTAGAAGCCCCGAATAAATAATTTTGTCATATTTCACGTTGACTGCGCCCAAAAAGGTTGGGTGTGGGTCCAGTGTGGGTTCCACCTCCACATTTCCACGGACAAGAAACAAACAGGAAACATCACCTAGGAGCCGACTTGCTTCACGACTTGGGGAATACCGGGAGTCTATGTGTGTGCGTGCGCGTGCGCGCGTGCGCGCGTGCGCGCGTGCGCGCGCGCGTGCGCGCGCGTGCGCGGGCGTGCG